ATCAATGAATAAACCCTGCTATAATCGCGAAAACTGCTCCTATTGATAAAACATAGTGAAAATGAGCTACTACATAATAAGTGTCATGTAAAATAATATCAACAGAAGAATTAGCTAAAACTACTCCAGTTAATCCACCAACTGTAAATAAAAATACAAATCCTAATGCTCATAAAATAGCTGGGGAATATGTAAGTTGAGTTCCGTGAAGAGTAGCTAATCAACTAAAAATTTTAATCCCGGTAGGGTACGAGCAATAATTATTGTTGCTGATGTAAAATAAGCTCGTGTGTCATACATCTATTCCAACTGTAAATATATGGTGAGCTCCATACAATAAATCCTAATAAACCAATTGCTAGTATAAGCATAAATTATTCCTTAAAGAACCAAATGTTTCCCTTTTTTACCTGATTCTTGACTAATAATATGAGAAATTATTCCAAATCCTGGTAAAATCAAATATATACTTCTGGGTGCCCAAAAAATCCAAAATAAATGTTGGAAGCCCCATGAAGTATTTAAATTTCGGTCTGTTAATATTGTAATAGTCCGGCTAAGAGTTTGTGTAATGATAACAAAATAAAAGCCAGATCACACAACAAGGTCAAGAGCCCATGTTACTAATAGGTATTACTATGCAAAAAAAAATTATTACAAAAGCGTGTGCTGTGACAATTACATTATAAATTTGATCATCTCCAATTAGTGCACCTGGATGACCTAATTCAGCACGAATTAAAATTCTAAACCACTATTCCAGCTCAAGCTCGAAAATAAAATATAAAGTTCCAATATCTTTGTGATTTGTTGAGAATAACCATTGTCGCGATTAAGTGGCTGAAGTTTAGGCGATAGATTGTAAATCTATTTATAAGAGTTATTCTTCTTAATCAAAATTATTATGGTCTTATAGTCAATAATGATATCAAACTGCAATTTTGAAGGTGTAAAATTTACTAAGGCTTAAAGGGTATACCTATATTTACAGCTTTGAAGGCTATGAGTTTATTTAACTTAAAGCCTTAATTTAAAATATAGCAAAAAATATTGAAATAAAAATTAAACCAAAAATTGAAAAAAATGATAGTAATATAAATAAATTTAAAGTAAAATTGTTTACTTGTGAATTATTTATTCAAACGATTTCGTAATAATTTAGTATAAATGCTGAGTAACATATTCGTAGATAAAAAAATAGTGTAATTAATGTTGTTACTAATAAAATTAATAATTGAAAATATTGATTACAAAAAGTTAGTTGTTGAATTACAATTCATTTTGGCAAAAATCCTAAAAATGGGGGTAATCCTCCTAAAGATAAAAAATTTGTGAATAAAACAAATTTTAAAATTTTATTACAGGAATACCAAGAAAATAACTGATTTAAATGAAATAGTTTAAAAATATTAAATATAAAAATTAATGTAAATGATAGCAAAGAATAAAATAAAAAATAAATTAATCAAACAGATTCATTTAATATTAATGCTCTTAATATTCATCCTAAATGGTTAATAGAAGAATAAGCTATTAATTTTCGTAGGGATGTTTGGTTTAAACCACCAATAGCCCCTACAATGACTGACAAAATTACTCTAATTAATAAAATATTTTTTGTATTTAAATAAGAAATTAATATTAAAGGTGCAATTTTTTGTCAAGTTATTAATAGTAAAGCATTTATTCACGTTAATCCGTCTATTAAATTTGGAAATCAAAAATGAAACGGAGCTGACCCTCTTTTTAACAATAAAGTTGATGTAATAATTATAGAAATAAAAGAATTACTAATTTCGTAATTTATGTTATTTTTTAATATTAATAAAATAACAGAAAACAATAAAACTGTAGAAGCTAAAGCTTGGGTTAAAAAATATTTTAATGAAGCTTCAGTAGATTTTAAATTATTTCTATCTCTTATAAGGGGGATAAAAGATAGTAAATTAATTTCTAAACCTATTCAAGCTCCTAACCAAGAATTTGCAGTTACTGTAATTAAAGTTCCAATAATTATTATTGCAGTAAATAAAATTTTTGAAGAATTATTAAAAATTAAAAAGAAAAGGATTAAAACCTTTATAAATGGGGTATGAACCCAGTAGCTTAATTAGCTTATCTTTTTATTTAATTTTTAATATTTATTTATATATTTTAGTGTACGATGCACAAAAGTTTTTGATACTTTTAGAAATAGTTTAATTCTATTAGATATAAATCCTTTCTAAAAAATACATCAAAAAGTATCAATGAATGTAGAATACTACATAATTTACCCTATCAAGGTAATCCTTTTATCAGGCAATTCATTTTTAAAAGAGTTTTTTTTTTTTTTTTTTTTTTATTTTTTTTTTTTTAAAAAAATTTTTTTTTTATATAGTAATTTTTAAAATTTAATAACACATTTTAGTAGTTTTTTTTTTTTTGCGTATTTTTTAAAATTAAATAATTAAAAATTTCTATATAGATATATATTATAATATAAATCTTCAACAATATATAAATATATAAATATATAATAATTTATAATATTTATATAAATTTATATAAATCAAAGAATTATTAGATAAATCTTTAAAATATAGATTTTTTTACTAAATATGTAAGCATTTTTGGATTGCGAAATTTTTTTTTTATAAATGTTAACCATATAATAATATATTAAATATTTATATATATATAGATATTTATTAATCTAGAACTAGTATACAAAAAATTTTTAAAAATTTTAAAATTTTTTAAAATAAATTAGTTTTCTTTTTAACTATATTTTTAAAAATTTAAAAAAAAAAAAAAAAAACTCTAAAGGATTTTTGTTAGTCTATAAATTATTAATAATTTATTATACTTTTTGGTTTATTATTTTTATTTAAATTTAATTATTTTATTGCTATTATATAATTTTTTTAAAAAAAAATTAATTTTAATTATTTTTTATAAAGTTTTAAAAATAAAAAATTTAATTTTTTGAAATTTTTGAATTAATTTGTAATTTTTACAATTTATTAAAATTTTTTAATTATTTTTTTAAAAATTTTACTAAAATATATTATTTTTATAAGTATGTGTTGAAATATATATATATATATTAGTAAAAATATTTTAATAAATTGATAAATTTATAAAATAAATATTTATTAATTTGTAAGGGGAAATAATTTTTTATTCAGATTTAGTGATTAATAAAAATTTTTTAAAATAAATTAAATTTTTAGAATAAAATACTATAAAAAATTATTTTAATTAATTTAAATAGTGTTTTATAAAATTAAATAATTTATTAATTAATTAATAAATATATGTGTATATATATATATGTATATAAGGGGTATATTTATTTTCAGATTTAGTAATTAATAAAAATTATTTAATTTTTATTTATATTCAATTTTTAATTTTATAAATAATAATTATTTATAAAAATAATTTATAATTTTTGTAAAAAGTATAATAAATTAAATAAATATATTAAAGTTTTATTTTGGCTTAAAAATTTGTTATTAATTTGATTTATATGTAAATTTTTTTGTGTGAAATTTTATTAATTTTAAAAATTAATAAATTATTAATAACCGCAGTAATTAATATTATAAATTAAAGAAATTTAGATATAGTAATATTAAAGAGTATAGATAAAATTGGTGCCAGCAATCGCGGTTATACCAATTATACGAATGAATTTTTTTAGTAAAAGTTAAATTGGTTTATTTTAAATATAATTAAATTTATTAAGTGAAATTTTAAATTTAAATTTTTTAGAAATTAAATAATTGAAGCTTGCAAATTTTAATAAAAAACTAGGATTAGATACCCTATTATTTAAAATGTAAATATTAATATTTAAGTAGTAATAGTTATGTTCTTGAAACTTAAAAAATTTGGCGGTATTTTAGTCTATCCAGAGGAACCTGTTTTGTAATCGATAATCCACGATGGACCTTACTTAAATTTGTAACCAGTTTATATACCGTCGTTATCAGAATATTTTATAAGAATAATAATATTCAATAATTTTTATTAAAATTTATATCAGATCAAGGTGTAGCTTATGTTTAAGTAATAATGGGTTACAATAAATTTATTTAAACGGATAAAATTATGAAAAAATTTTTGAAGGTGGATTTGGTTGTAAAATTATAAAGATTAATAATTTGAT